CTTTCTGGCAGGTTTAGGTAGGGCAGATGGAGCATCAAATATTTTACCAACATGTGATGTTAAAACCTGAGATCTCCCATCTAAGGCTTTGATGGAAGACCCAGATCCCAGATTCAGCCCATCCTTAGGGGCCACACACGTGCCTGGTTCTCCATTCTCTTTATCAACAAAGATCAGAGTAGTCATTCTAGATTACTGGATCTCAACAGTCAAATTGAGGCTAATCATTTCATTTTAATTAATGCCTTCATTGAAACAGAGCACTGCAATCTCTATCAACAAAATAGCATACAAGTTTTGTATCTTGCCATTTAACTTCAGAAAGGTATAAGGCCTAAAATTTTCTAGAATGTTTTTGCATTTATCTAGAAAATGCTTTCCAATGAACTAGATAAAAATGCAGCAAAGCACTGGTGCTGGGCATTTACGCACAAGCTAATCAGCACTGTTTCCAAAGCCATTGCTGGCTCCCCTTCCCCTCATCCTTGGAGGTGTCTGGTGAAAGCAGTATTGGAAGTAGTATGCACCACCCTTTCTCATGCCATTTGCCTGACCTGATCATTTTACAGTGACTCAGTGGGCTGGTGAGTGCTGTTAAGTAGGGGTGGGGTATAGGAAGGAATGTGATATATAAACAAACGTATGGACAAACCACTGCTCCCTTGAGTACTGCTGACAGAACATCACTCGGCAGAGTATTTGTGTCTTTACTTTCAGTATGAAACTGCACATGTACCCAGCTGGCATGAGTTGAGAGTGACAGGGACATTATCTATCTACATGTTTGCCCCATGGGAGCAGTGGTTTCCCAACCGTTTCTACATTTCCTCCGAGGCCTGCAAAAAGCTGCTCCTGGATGGAGGTGAGCAGTCAGGGTGGTCCAACCACCACGGGCTCTGTACAGACAGACTGGTGTCAGCGGCCCCGCAGCAACCACTGGAGGAGCTCTAAATCACAGAATAGAAATTGAAGTGGCCATGTGATCTCCCAAGTTCCCTAGAGGAATTGTTTGAGTTTACACCTTACTCCAATTTATCGTCAGGCATAAGATCCATGAAATTTCAGGGTGACTGCGTTGGCACATTGGATAAGCACAATCCACATCAAGTATGGTTTTCTGTCTTGTAATTCAGTTAAGCTCCCCTTCCAGATGAACTAGTTTGATCCTTCTAGTCCACTAATAAAATATTTAATAAAAATTTTAGACAATCCCCACTGAATAGTTTTCATCTTGTCTAGAGGAGTCTGGTGAAGAGATGGGGATAAGATTCTTATGATTCAATAGTAATTGTTATCATGACAAATTACGACTGTCACAATTGTACAGGTAGAAGTTTTGTAACAAAAACGGGGGAATAGTTAATCTTAGTCCAGAAAGAGGATCCTAGGGAGATGAGTACAACTAGATTGTGGGACCCTATCAAGAGAAGCAGAGACACCAGAGATGGGGACATGGAGAGAGGGTGCAGCTGAGGGCTCTGTAGATTTATGGCAAGAGCGGGACTGAGAGCTGGTGACCAAGAGGCAGACTTGCAGAATGTGCCCTCTGGTGTTTGGTGGTATAAATTATTGTATATGCCTGAGTGTTTAAAAAAAAAAAAAGCTAAAATGAATAAAGAGAAGTACTGTTAACTGATGGTACATGGAGGGGATTATAATCATTGTAATGAAACAAAGTACATGATTTGTTGAATGTAAGACTGATGATTTGCCCTGTAAACTTCTCAATGCACAATAAAAACTTTTAAAAAATATTAAATAAAAATCAAAACAAAAAAAATTTTTTTAGACAAATTACAGGTGGTGGTGGTTATGTGGAGTCAGTTATGTGGAGGTCAGTTCTGACTCATAGTGACCCTGTACAGGGTTTCTGGGGCTGTAAATCTTTACGGGAGCACAAAGCCTCATCTTTCTCCTGTGGAATAGCTGGTAGTTTTGAACTGCTGACCTTCAGATAGTAGCCCATCTTGTAACCACTATGCTACCAGAGCTCCTTTAACAGGCTGTTAACTGCCTTCGAGTCGGTTCTGACCCACAGAGACCCTGTATAGGCTTTTCAAGGAACAGCTGGTGAGCTTGATCCGCTGACCTTGCGGTTCAAATCGACCTTGCAGTCCAGCGCATTAGACCGTAGCGCCACACCAGTCCTGGACTACTGATGTATTCAAATTATGATGAACCATGCTTATGATTTGTGTATTTTGTGTCTTAGTTATCTGGTGTTACTATATCAAAAATACATGTTGGTGGCTTTAAGAGAAATTTATTTTCTCACAGATTAGGAAGCTAAATAAACAAATTCAGTGTCTCTTTCTAGAGGAAGGTTTTCTATCTCTTGTCAGCTAGGGCAGAAGGTCCCTGTCTCTTTTGAGCACCTGCTGCTTGGGGGATCTTCATGTGGCTTGCCATGTCTCTTCCCCCATCTGTTCTCATTTGCTTGTTTCATCTTTTAGGTCTCAAAAAAGAGTTTGATCCAAGACATGTCCTACACGAGAATCCTGCCTCATTAACATTAACAGAGACAACCCAATCCCAAACTGGAATAAAATTACAGACCAAGATTAAGATTTATAGCACATATTTAGGGGTACATAATTCAATCCTTAAATTATGTATTAAAATATGTCTGTAAACTTATATGAAATATTCCCCAAACATAAAGACAAATAAAGAAAAAGAATAGGAAAGATAAAAAACGGAACCTATCTGTATTCATAAATTGGGACTATCTGTATTCAAATGTATCTTGTGAAAGTCTTTAAACACAGAGTTATGGTAATCCAGCAACACTGTAAGTTTATTTTAAACATACATTAAAAGATAAATACAATATTTGCCAAAGTACTATTACTCTATAAAATAAATATTTCTGAATAAATTTATTTCAGTACCTTTATATAGCACTGAAAATGCAAATTAAGTTTGTAAAACTGTATTTTCTACTGAGTATTTTTAGTGATGGAAAGCTCTCCAGTTTAGCTTATCACATAGTACATAATAATATAGCATACTGGGTAATGCTATGTATCAAATATTGGCCAAGCAACACTCTATTAGGAGAGTAAGAGGTGACAGGGATCAACAAAGTACAAACTGCATAGGTCACAAAGTGTTGAACACTGAACGAATCCTTGTAGTATAAAACAACTAATGTACATGCAATTCTCATTTTAAAAGATAACTAAAACATTCAAATTTTGCATTGCAATAACTGTTACTGGTTAATGTAAAAATATTTATCAAAAACCAAAACTGCCAGCAAAATTCTAAGTAAAATGACTTTTATTGCATAAATAAAAGAAAACAGTACTGTTAGCCGATGTAAATGTGAGCTGTCACCAGGCTTAAAGTATTAAATGTATGCATATAACACAAATAGTTGTATCTCCATGTAACTTTCATGCACCTGCTTTACATTTGTTAATTACTCAAAACTTCTAATACCATTTCAAAGAGTATTATATATAATGTGGGATATTTTGGACATTATCTGCCCAAGCCAATGCTGCCAATTATTGGTTAAAAGTATTACTGGCATTTACTGTATTTTGCAGAAGTACTGGACATGTGTTTCCATTTTATATATGGTAATACGACCCACAAGAAGGGCAATGTGAATACTTAGTACCCAGGTTAGCAGTAAGCAGTACTAGTCCCTAAGATACACAGGTCATACAGGCAGAGACTGATTCGCTGGTATCAAGCGCTGCTTAAACTTTTGTCTGTAAATAAGGATCACATAAAATACCTTAATTTTTTTTTCTATAGAGAAAATCAAGGCAAATTGAGTATCTGTTATTATTTCACTTATTCTGGAAACTACAATTTCAGATATTAAGTGTTATGCTCAAGGATAATCAGCATTTCCACATATTTAAAAACACTAATTCTATGTTGCTTTTTTTAAGGAGTGCAAACTGATACATGGTTTAAGTAAACATTTATTTGTGCATGATATTGATGCAGATAGGCATAACCTATTTTTCATACTGAAATGTACATTCCTGTCTCAGCATCTTATGTAGATTTTCTTTAGAATAATAGTACTTAATTTCTCAAAGACTTGCTATGTAGACTCAATGATTTACCTATGTATATGTTCAGCACGGTGCCTGGCACACCATAAGCGCTCATCTGATACACACTATTATTATTATTTACACTGAGGGAACAAAACTGTCATTTAGAATATGAGAGATGGCTACATCTCCAGAAGAATCAAAGGAAGATAAACCTACAGATGTGCGAGTGTCAACGTGGTGTGCAGCCAGTCCTTCTCAAGTCTCTGCATACACTAAACTTGTTTCAATTACTACAATCTACTTTTAAGATAACATTATCAGTTTGTTCTCTAAATTTTTCCTATGGCCTTTGGACTAAAACAATATAATTCTGACAGGATAGGTATATTAGAAAACCATATAAAAACAAGGTAGACCAAAATAGGTAACAAAGGCATCTTATTATTATACCTTCTTTAACAAAGCAGAGCGAAATCAGTGTAATTTAGGAGAACCTACCTTGTGTCTAAGTTTAAAGTTTTTTTCTTTACACCATGTGGTACACTTCACTTCAGAAAAACAGTATCATTATTCTGTCTTCTCTCATATAGAAACACAAAGAGCTATTACAAAGTTCTGTCCTCTAAGTAAAAAATCCATTAGAAAAGGTTATTTTTTAAAATTCTTGTAGGTTTAATGAGAAAGAAATGATGAACAGGGCCACCAGAAAGGGAGTAAGTGCTTAAATGGTCTCAACACATATCTACAAACACTTGACTCTTGAGGAAAATGTATGTTCTAATATATGCAAAGGATTTGGTTTGAATGATTTTATCCATAGTGACTTTTTTTCTCCACCAGAAAAGATAAATGACTTCAAACAAACTGTTGTCTGCTACAATGAACACAATAGTGAAGGCGAAAACACTGTCTCTGTTATAAAACGATTCTTGTCATTCTACTGGTGTCAAATGCGAAGGAAATAATTTCTGTGAAGATAGAAAAATATATCTGAAACCTCATGATTCTGACCTTTAATATACTAATTGAAACTGCCCAGAGTGAAAAAAAAAAAGACCCAACTCCCCCAAATATACCTTTTAGAGGCACACTAGAATCTTTCAAAAGTTGTCTTGATTGAAAAAGAGAGTCTAGAAACCAAGCATGAAGCATCTCCACTATATGAAAATCAAGAACAGATCAAGTGAAGGCATATTTTCTCTGAATGGAATGAATCATTCTATAGGCTCCAGAGAAATGATCTTAAGAAATGTGAACTACAGTTCCAGTTTATCTTTATCTACAAGTACAGAAATTCAAAGTGTATATCCACACACTTTAGGAAATGTTGCACCCAGTGTCCTTCTGAGGTTTGATATCTGGTTCTTTCACAGGTCTTACTTCTTCTTCTGGTTTGGGCTTGGTCTAAGGAGAAAGAAAACATAGCATAAGTACACAAACTAATCTTTGGAAAATAAACATTAGGGCTTTACTACTTCAGATTTTTCAGAGTTGTTCTGTTGAATTGTTACAACACTGAGATTAACAAAGCCGTTCCCAAAGCTACAAATCAATTCAAGAGATTCCAGGGAAGATGAAAACCTAGAATAGTTGGCAATAATCAAGCAAAAGCACAGCCTACTCCACGCTCTTTTTGAGGAGGAATAAACTGAGAGCTGATGATGTAAATGGAACTCTTAAGTTTGGAAATAACTTATGGTAGTAACAGGCTGTTTCTTAGGGCATTATTTTAGAACTGAACTGGATACAGAGATGGTTATTTGAAGGATTAATGTTTTTTGTTTGAGTAGGAAATTATATTAAAATTACCCATTGTGAAGTAAGCAGTTAAGAGTGCAAATTAGTGAAATGATTCCCATTCCTTGCATCACACAGTCTTTTTGGCAGCTAAACTCCAATTTTCTACTGAATCTACCGTTTGACCTAGATAATATAAGTATTTTATGTCAATGGTATATCCCTTGCATGAAAATGAATAAAAGCAGATTTGACCCTTGATGATTTTATGGAATTCTGAAATTAGGTCAGATCTTCAAATGCTTCCTGGTCACTATACTAAATGTGTAAAACAGAGTCTTGCCACAGCAATATAAACATGGGTGAGCCATTCTTTTTAGACCTTTTCTCTAGCACTCTTCTTAAAGGAGAGAACTGGAAAGTTATCAAAAGGCATGATAATGTGTTGGAAGCACTGTCAATCAATTACACAGAAAATGAAAAGACAAAATCCTTTATCTCTAAAACAGATTATACTAGGCACTATCATGAACTAATTTAACATTCAGAAAAATATGTATCAAAATATTAACTCTGTATTTGCTTTTTGTGAATAGAACAAAAACACTGCAATCTCATACACTGTCATCCTTGGGTCTTTTGGTGAGATCAAATGCAGCCAACGTTTCTGGTGTCCACTGAGCATTTGTAGGAGGAAAGTCGAAAGGTACAGGCTCTACAAGACCATAATTTGCTTTAAGTTCCAGTTGTGGGGCTTCTGTTGGAATTTTTTGGAAGTAACTGCAAAAAGAAATTTGAGTAGAAAATTTCATTCATTCAGTAACTATTCAAGTGCATGTGTCTAAGATCCTGGGTGAGACAATGACAATTTGATGATGAATTAGAAACATTTTCTCTGCCTCATGTAGCTTACATATAAGTGAGACAGTCAACACCTTGTCAATTACAAGCAACGTAACCTAAGCTATGATGGGTAACAAAAAACAAACAAACAAAAACAAACATTAAAAACTCACTGCCATCAAGACCATTCTGACTCCTAATAACCCTACAAAAGGTTTCCGTGACCGACTGTCAATCTTAATGACAACAGACAGCCTCAACTTTCTCCCATGCAGAGGCTGTGGGTTTGAATCACCAACCTTGTGGTTAGTAGCCTAATGCCTATAATTAACCTAGGAGTTCTGGGACACTTTCCAAACAAAATGAGGAAAGCTAAATCTTAGGTGTATTTAGGGAAGTAAAACCAGCTCACTCAGTAAGACTAGATGCAGAATTTAAGGGAAATAATATGTACAGGGTCGCTATGGGTTGGACCCGACTCGATGGCACTTAACAACAACAACAATATAGAGATTAAAAAAAATAATAAGGACAAGATTGACTTGCCCAACCTACAGAGGTGGTGATCTATAGTTTTTAACAAAAGAATACCACTTTATATGACTGTGAAGCATTCAGAGAAAAATAATTTTCTTGCTTTAGAGCTTTATGACACCAGTGAGATGAATATGGAAATGCAGTTGAGAATATATATATATATATATAAAACATATAGAGAATGGCAGGGAAACAAGAGAAAAATTAGGAGAGTAAGGAAGTGTCCTAATGAAGTACACTACACAGAAAGCATTTCTACTAAGGTTCCAGAAGAAGAAACAAATGTGTGTTGAAAGAAGTACAGCCATAATGCTCCTCAGCAGCCAGGATCTCTGATACTTCGGACATGTAATGAGGACGGACCCTGGAGAAGGCCATCCATCATGCTTGGTAAAGTGAAGGGTCAGCGAAAAAGAGGAAGATCCCTGTGATAATTAGTTTTGATAATCTTTGACTGGGCCAGGATTCCCAGTGGTTTGGCAGCTGAGATATGGTTATCCCCATGTGAGATCTACAGATCATACAGATAGCTCTAAGATAACTAGCTATGAACAATGTAGTTATTTCTATGATGATTGGCTATGAGCAGCCAATCAACTAAAAGTATGTTTCCTTAGGCGTGGGGCCTGCTTCCAATATAATAGATACTCAGCTAAAGGTTGTCTGCTCTCTGCTGGGTCTGAATCTTGCATCACTCGTCCTCCAATCTCCTGCTCTTTGGACATGAGTCAGTGGCCTGGTCTATTATTTGCCTGCCTGCCTGCTGATCTTGGTTCATTTGACCCAGACTTGGGACTCTCTCATCTCTACAACTGTGAGCCGATTTCTTGATACAAACTTCTCGTTTCTTATGTATGTGTGTATACATATATACACGTTTCACTGGTTTTGCTTCTCTAGAGACCCCAGCCAAAGATAACCTCCAGTGAGATAAGACTGATACAATGACAGCAATAATTGGCTCAAACATAACAAGTTGTGAGGATGGCAATTCCTTATAGGACTGGGCAGTGTTTTGTTCTGCTATTTCATGGGGTCACTAGAGCTGGAAACAACTCGATGGCACCTAACAACTATGATTCTAGTTCATACATGAACTGGAGATTTGTGGTTGGCTGAAGGAAGACAAGTTCTCTTACTAATACAGCTGTCTTAGTCTCATTGGTGTTGCTGTCGAGTTGGTTCTGACGCATAGTGACCCTGTATAGGGTTTCCAAGGAATGGCTGGTGAGCTTGAACCACCAATCTTGTGGTTCAAACTGACTTTGCAGTCCAGTGCATTAGCCCACAGCATCACATCAGGGCTCCTTAGTCTTGTTACTGTTAAGTTCCGTAGTGACCCTACGTAGGGTTACCAGAGAGTGGCTGGTGAGCTTGAACCGCTGACCTTGTGGTTCAAACCAACCCTGCAGTCCAACGTATTAACCTACAGCACCACACCAGGGCTTCTTAGTTTCACTAGGGTGCCTTAAAAAAGATCCAATCAAAACAGCGGCTGCTGACAGCATTTGCTGGGCCAGAAGGTTATGGATACTATTTTGGGGGCTCCAAAGAAATGATCTTAATAGATTTTCTCAAAGGACACAGAATGATCACAGGACAGGGGCTTATAGTGAAGAAGTTTTAAGAAAACTGAAAATGGAATTGGTGAGAAGGCCAGGAAAGTTATGTCTAGGAATTTTTTTTCCCATCACAGTAATACACCTGCTTATTCTTCAAGGGTAGCAAGGGGTGTCCTACGAGAATTTCATTAGGAAATCTTACCCCATACACCCCTACAGTTATGTTCTTGCCCCTTCAAACTTCTTTTAATTCCCCAAACTCAAAGAACATAATAAAGGAATACAATTGGAGTCCCATGAGGATGCCAAAACTACAATTCTGATGGAGTGTCAACTAAAGAGCAGAGAAATTCTGGAGGAAGGGTGAGAGAGATGGAAACCCTGCCTTCAGGAGTGTGTATGTGAAACATGGAGGCTACGTATAGAAATAACTGCTTCACGATTGTTTTGTTTATAAAGGTTGCTGCAATGATTTCCCACCACTCGTCTATCAGGCTGTGGCTTGCATGTTGCTTTGAGGCTGAAAGCTATACCACCGGGTATTTTAAATACCAGCAGGGTGACCCTGATGGACAGGTTTCAATGGAGTTTCCAGACTATGACAATACAGAGAGGCAGACCACCTCTGAACATCTTATGAATTGCACTGAAACACTGCCTGATAGAGTGCCAGAAGATAAGCCACTTAGGTTGGAAGCACTCAAAATACAACCAAGGAAGAGCTGCCTTCTCAAAGTAGAGCTGACTAATGAATTGATAAAGCTTTCAGAACCTTCATCTGCTGATGGGGCACAACTCAAAATGAGAAGAAACAATGGCAAACATCCATAAATAATTTGAATGTGGAATATATGAAGTATTCATCTAGGAAAACTCAAAGTTGTCAAAAATTAAATGGAATGCACAAACACTGATATCCTTGGTACTAGGAAGCTGAAATGGACTGATACTGGCCATTTTGAATCAAATAATCATATAGTCTACTATGCTGGGAATGACAAACTGAAGAGGAATGGTGTTGTATTCACTGTCAAAAAGAGTTATTTTAAGATCTGTCTTGAAGTGCAACGCTATCTGTGTCAGGAAAAGTATATCTCACCTGAATTTACAAAACATTTCAAGGACAGATTTGATGCACAGATGCTAATGACTAAAGATGAGGAGTTGTGGAATGACATCAAGAACAAGCAAGAAGAAATCAAAAGGTCATTAAAAAGACAGAAGAAAGAGAAAAGACCAAATGGATGTAAGAAGAGACTCTGAAACTTGCTCTGTAACATGGAGAAGCTAAAGCAACATGAGGAAATGAAGTAAAAGAGCTGAACACAAAATTTCAAAAGGCAACTTCAGAACACAAAATAAAGTACTATAATGAAATATGCAAAGACCTAGCGTTAGAAAGACAAAAGGGATGAACATGCTCAGCATTTCTCAAACTGAAAAGACCTAGAGAAAAATTTCAAGCCTTTACTTGAGATACTGAAAGATTCTATGAGTGAAATACTGAATGATGTAGGAAGCACAGAAACATGGAAGGAATATACAGTCACTGTACCAAAAGTAACTGGCTGATATTCAGTCATCTCAAGAGGTAGCATATGATCAAGAACCAATGGTATTCAAAGAAGTCCAAGCTGCACTGAAGGCACTGGCTTATTAAACAAGGCTCCTGGAACTGATGGAATACAAATAGAAATCTTTCAACAAACTGACGCAGTGCTAGAAGCCCTCTCTCATCTATGCCAAAAAAATTGGAATAGGAAGAGATCCATAGTCATGCTCATTCCGAAGAAAGGCGACCCAAAAGAATGCAGAAATCATCAAACAATATCATTAACATCACATGCAAGTAAATTTTGCTGAAGATACTTCAAAAACAGTTGTTAACAATGTCCCAAGGAACTGCCAGAAATTCAAGTTGGATTCAGAAGAGGATGTGGAACTAGGGATATCATTGTTTACATATGATGGATCTTGGCTGAAAGCAGAGAATACCAGAAAGATGTTTACTGGTGCTTTACTGACTATACAAAGGTATTCGACTCTATTAAACTATGGATAACATTAAGAATGGGAATTCCAGAACATAAAACTCAAGAGGAACCTGAGGCAGTTGTTTAAACAGTACAAGGAAATACCGAAAGGTTTAAAATCAGAAAAGGTGTGAACCAGTATCCTATCACCATACTTATTCAATCTGTATGCTGAACAAATAATCTTAGAAGCTGGTTTATATGAATGGCACCATGACTGAAGGGAAATTCACTAACAACCTGCACTATGGAGATGACACCAGCTTGCTTTCTCGAAGTGAAGAGGACTTGAAATAATTACTGATGAACATCAAAGACTACAGTATGGATTGCACCTCAACATAAAGAAAACAAAAAATCCTCATAACTGAACCAATAAATAACATCATGAGGGTCGCTAAGGGTCAGAACCGACTTGATGTCACTTAACAACAACAAAATGGAGAAAAGATTACTGTTATCAAAGTTTTCATTTTGCTTGTATTCACAATCAACACTCATGGACCAAGCAGCAGTCAAGAAATCAAATGACGGATTGCTTTAGGCAATCTGTAGATCAAGACCTCTTAAAAATGTTTAGGAGCAAAGATGTCAGTTAAAGACTAAGACGCACCTGACCCAACCCATGATATTTTCAATTGACTCATATGAAAGTTGGACAATGAATAAGGATGATCATAGAAGAAGTGATGCATTTGAATTATGGTGTTGGTGAATACTGAAAGTACTATGGACAGCCAGAAGAACCAACAAATTTGGATTGGATGAAATATAACCTGAATGCTCCTTAGAAACAAGGATCATGAGATTTTCTCTCTTACTTTGGACATGGTGCTTGCAGGGACCAGTCCCTGAAGAAGGTCACCATGCTTGGAAGTGGAAGGTTATTGAAGAGGAAGACCCCTACAGTGGCAGCCAACAATAGACTGAAACATAACAGTTGTAAGAATGGTGGCAAGACTGGGCAGTGTTTCGTTTTAGTGTATAGGGTAGTTATGAGTTAGAACCAACGCGATGGCACCTACCAGCACCACATGATGACTTTGACTTACACTCACATGTTAATAATTTACTCATTAAATTTTAAATCTGCCCCTTGATGTTAAGTGCCATAGAGTCAGCTCTGACTCATAGTGACCTTATTGCACAACAGACCAAAACACTGCTTGGTTCTGTGTCATCCTCACAATCGTTTTAAATTGTGGTCTGGGTGAAAGTTTATAAATCATACATGTTTTGTTTAGTAACATTAGTTGCATTTCCCTCAACGTAGCGCTCCTGCCCTCCCCTCAGTGGATTTCTCCTTTCATTTGTGCTTTCCTGCCCCTATCTGTCTTCTGAGCTTTGTCCCTGGGCAAATGTTGCCCTTTGGTCTCATATAGTTGATGATTCTGAGGAGTATGTTCCTCGTGTTATTGTTCAGTTCCAGGTTTGAAGGATGTCTAAGACCAACAGTCTTGGGGGTTCCACCAATCTCTTTCAGACCAGTTAAGTCTGGTTTTGTTTTGTTTTAAATACAGTTCTCTCTCTCATACTCATTCAGGGAAGGTTGGTAGGAGTAAGGAGTTAGGGTTAGGCTATGGCTAGGTCTAGGTTAGAACAAGGATTTTTTTTTTTTTAGTGTTAGGCGTATAGTTAGGACTAGGGCTAGTGTTAGGGGTTGAAGTTGGTTTAGGGCTAGGAATAAGGCTTGGTCTCATTTTAGGGTTATAGTTAAGATTGATTTTCATTAATATTTATCTTAAAATCTACTTGATTTCCTCTTCATTTCGCAGTTCTGTAACTACATTACTCCCTCTTCTTACTCTATGTTTTGTTGTTGCTGTTGCAAACTGGTATCTATGGTTTCCTATATTCAGTCTTGGAAGTCTGTTTTACTTAGAATACTTCTAGGTCTGGGTTGAGTTCTAAGTGACATTGTCATGTTTGTTTGTTTCAGGTGTTGGTTCACTCACTGTCCAAAGAATATCTATTAGTACTTTTTGTAAGGTTGGTCTGAGTTTCATAAACTTTTTTGTTTATTTGAAAATGTTCTTGTTTCATCATCACATTTGATGGACAATTTTGCTGGATAGATGAAACTTGGTTGGCAGTTTTTTTCTATCAGAGTTTTATATATGTCATCCATTATCTTCTTGTCTGCATAGTTTCTGCTAAGAAATCAGTGCTTACTAGTTCTCCTTTAAGCTTTTGTTTTTCCAGAATTGCTTTCAGAACTCTCTACTATGTTTTAGTTTTGAAATTTCTTTTTGGGGTCTATCCTGTTTGGAGTTGATCCAACTTCCTGAATAGCTATCTTCTTGACTTTCATGATTTTAAGAAAGTTTTCTTCCAAAACTCTTGGATAATTATTGCTATGTGTTTTTTTTTTTTTTGGTCTCTTCCTGTTTTGGAATTCCAATCACAAGTAAGTTATTCCTCTTGAACGTGCCTCACATAAATCTTAGGCTTTCTTCAGATTATTTTTTCCCCCTGATTGCTCATTAGCAAATGAATATTGAGAGATTATTTGTCTTCAAGTTCAGTAACTCAGCCTTTCACTGATTTATTTCTACTTCCTTGCCCTTTTAATGTATAATCTACTTCTGAAGTCTTAGTATTAGTCTCTCTTGGCTTTCTAATTGCTGTTTTTGTATGTTTTCCAAGCTTTTTGTTTGTCAGTTTGTTCTTGTAGTGTTTTCCTGAATATGTCTAAATTTTTTTCTGTGCTCTCTTGGCTTTTCTCGATCGTTCTCTTAATCCTTTGAAGGTATTTAAATAGCAATCTTTTAAATTCCTTATCCAGTAGTTCTGATACCATTTCTGGCTTTATATTTTCTGACTCTGTATTTTGGCCACTTGCTTGAGAAACTCTTGCTTGCTTCTTTATGTAAGCTGAAATTGTCTGTTTTCTCTGCAATATTGCAGTGTTATATTTATGTGTAATTGTTGACTGTATATTGGTGTGTTCTCAGGCACTTACCACTTGTCTCCTGGTGGATGTGTGGCACAGTTCAAGGCAGGTTCACATACCTCCAGAAGCTGGGGTGGCACTCCTGGCACCCAACCCCAGGCAGAGTAGAGGGTGTACAGGAGGGGGTGCCACTGGCCTCTGGGTTGGGAAGATCTGTAACTGAATATACTCATGGCTACCAGGAGGATACAGAACAAGGGAGAACCACATCACCCTTGCCACAACCTCCAGCCTTGTCCTGTGCCTGTAGGCCACTCTACTGAAAGCCACTTGCAAAAACTCAGGATGGCTGTCCTGATTCATGCCAGTTGACAGCCTACCCATTTTTCTTCTCTCTTGCCCTTCCTGTTCAGCTTCCTCTTCCAGTTGATACTCAGTCTTCCTCTTTGTCCTATCTTCTGAAGCTCAGGGCTCAAGAACCATCTGTGTCTGTTTCACTTGGTCTCCCAAGTTTCTGTTGTAAAGGGTTTGCTGAGTGTGTCTGCTTACTCTGCCATCTTGCCCCAGAACTCATCCTGGTCTTTTTTTAAAAATAATTTCAAATTGAATTCCTTATTTTTCTCTCAGTATATTCAGTATCTTCTCTGGTCTTGATTAGAGCAGTTGGTAATGGTTGCCAGGCACCATCCAGTTCTTCTGGCCTCAGGGTAATGGAGGCTGAGATCCACATGGTTCAGTAGTCCTTCAGTCTTTTGATTTTCTCCACTATTCTTTCTTCCGGGGAGACACGAGTTACATCTTAGATGGTCGCTTGCTAGCTTTTATGAACTCCACTGCTTACTCATCACAGCAGGGTGTAGAACATTGTTTGTGAACTATGTTATGCCAATTGACTTAGGTGTCCCCCAAGATTGTGGGCCTAAGTCTCAAAGCTCCGCAAGTCATTCCCTTAAGGCGTTGGTTATGGCTAAGTACTGCCCCATTTCCTTTATCATATACATGGATACATTTAAAACATACAGAAATACAAATGCAGAAACAGCCTCTGCTAAACCTATATGTTGTTGTTGTTGTGAAGTGCCATCGGATCTATTCCAACCCATAGCAACCCTATGTAGGGTTTCCAAGGAGCACCTGGTGAGCTTGAACCACTGACCTTGTAGTTCAAATGACTTTGAAGTCTGACACATTAGTCCACAGTGCCACACCAGGACTCCTATGTAAGGAGGGCTTTAAAAAGTTTATGGAAAAATAGAATAAAAAGATAATGGAATTTTCCCACAAACTTTTGAAGCCCCCTTGTATACTGTCATGGGTGTAGTCCTGTTTGCCTCCCCATACCTGTTCAGCGTGCATGCCTGCCTATGCACCACTCATAGATTACTGTGTATTATTACTGTTATCGCAGAATTTTGTATGTAGTACTGTTTATCTATGTTGTCTGTCGTTCTTGTGATCCTCTACATGTCTTCCTTTGCCTTAACGATACTCTGCTAATCACCCCCTTACTGTATGTACTACCTTTTCACCCAGATTAATATGTCTATTTAACACTGGACTACAAACCACAAGGTCTGCGCTTCAAACCCACAACTGCTCCTCAGAAACCCTGTACAGGGATGCAGTGAGTCAGAATTGACTGGACGGCACTTACAAAAATAACGTTGTCCCGTTAGTGATTTTACCTCCCTTCCTCTCCCTAGTAACCATCAAAGAGTATTTGTTTTTGTGTGCAAACCTTTCCTTCACTTTTTATAACTAGAAGAGGAAATTAATGCTATTTTAAACACTAATTCTAGTGTTAAAGACTAACAGAAAACATGGTATTGCTAGATAAACAGCTGTACTCACATAAATCCATTTTCCCTTTGGCACTTTTCTAGGGTGTTCTTCACAAGATTTCCAAGTTTCCGAAAGAACAAGTGTCCGGAAGGTTTGACTGTGGGTCCAGGGCCTTTGGTTTCACCATACTCTTTGCATAATGCTTCTGCCTTTACATAAACTACATGTGCAAGGGATAGAAAGACACATGGTTTTAACAAATTATTGTGTATTTATATTGTTGTTGTTGTTATGTGCCGTGGAGTCGGTTCCGACTCATAGCGACCCTGTACAGGGTTTCCGAGGCTGTAAATCTTTACGGGAGCAGAAAGCCTCATCTTTCTCCCACGGAACAGCTGGTAGTTTCAAACTGCTGACCTTCCAGCCCGCAGCCTGATTCGTAACCACTATGCTACCAGAGCTCCTTAGAAGGCATTAAGTCAGAAATGCTAAGAAATGTGACTGCTCTTTCCTTAGTGTAGTTCAATTTCAAGAAGAGCGTCAGTGGAAGCTGAGTATTTCCGACAGGACCTTAGGGTTCCAGAACTTTGTCTTCCACTTACAATTCCCAGTCTCTTTCATCGAGGCAGCCAGGATCTCTTTCAACCTCCTACCCTCCCATTATGGTATTTTGTTTTTTACAAAGGGAGTTAACTTCTTAGCAGAAATACTTACGTTTTTCTGCTTCTTGGAGAGACCTGATTGCTTCACCACATTTATCCCCAGCCAATAAAGTTTGACCATGGTAACAATAAGCCTGGTAAAAGAAACAAAAATTTTTATTCATTCTCTTCCTAAACAATTTTCTCCACTATCATTGTTTTAGATATTCATCAGATGACTAAGTACCTTTGTCTATTGTTTTAAGTATCAATGAGATCACTTTTATTTCTTTACTTAAGTAAGCTTTCACCCATCACTGCTCAGTGAGACTCAGAAAAAGTCAAACTAGCCTTCTGATCACAAGCTGAGAGCAACAAACATTTCCGGAACCTTGTTTCAAATAGTAGCTAAAGAAGCGAAATTACTGTGCTGAGGCAGAGGCAGAGGCAGAGGGAAGGTTCTAAGGTGAAGGGGTAAAGAGGTTTCAAAGAGACACATATAGCAGCTTGAAGTAGGACACTGCCATAGATTGAATCATGGGCCCTGAAATAAATGCTGCAAATCCTGATCTTTATGTCTGTGGTAAAAATACCACTTATGAATGGGTTGTCTTTGTTACCCTCAAAAGGCAGGTTTAGTATAGGGTGTGTCTTGAATCAGCCTCTTTTGAGATCTGAAAGAGATGAAGCAAACAAGCAGAGGGCAGATGGGGAAGACATGGAGATCTCCAAGGAATGAGGAAGCACAAGCTGAAGCGAAAAGGACCTTCCCCCAGAGCCAACAGGGAGAGAAAGCCTCCCCTTAGTGTCTTTGTTGTTTGTTAAAGCCATCCATTTGTGCTATTTCTGCTACAGCAGCCTTAGATAACTAAGGCTGAATTTGGCACCATGTGAGTGGGGCACTGCTCTAACAGATACCTAAAATGTGAAAGTAGTTTTGGATTTAGTTAATGGGTAGAGGCTGAAAGAATTTTAAGGTTCTGGACAGGTGTTGTAGGATAAGCATTGGAATTCTAACCACAAGGTTGGCAATTCACCAGCCACTCCTCAGAAACCCTGTAAAGGGTTGCCATGAGTTGGAACTGACTTGATGACACTTAACAACAACAATAGTGAAAACCTGGATTGCCTTGAAGAGAATTACAGGTGTTAAAGGCAATTCTGGTTTGGGCTCAGAAAGAAGTGAGATGAGTTATAGAGAACCGTTAACTTCTTAGAGAACATATATGGCAGCGGCAACAACTGCTGTTGGCAGTGTGGATGCTAAGTGTGCTTCTGGTGGGGCTCTCAAAGAATATGATGAAGATGTGAATGCACAATGCAGCAAGGGGGATTCTTTTATGCAGTGGCAAAGAACTTCTCTAAATTATATCTAAATATTTGGTGGAAGGTAGAACTTGTGAACTTAAATAAATGGCTGATGAGATTTCAAGAGCTTATAGGCCACATGGTTTCTTCTTGTAGCTAATACAACATGAAAGGAAAGTGAGAAACTTAAAATGGAAGTGTGCAAAATGAAAACATAATTTAAAGATTTAAAAATTTCTGTTGTATACACTAAGGACATGCGTCTTAGAATGCTCACCAAAGATGTGGCTGCACAATCTGCTGTTAAAAAGAGATTAAGCCTGTGATTGATGGATCTAACCAAAGACCAGCAGACAACCCTTAAACACAGACTGAAGGGGACAGAGAAGGAACAACAGGAAAGGATGCTGTCTACCTCTTGGAATGCTACAAGCAGGAAACAGGCCAAAGGAGCACATCTGCTGTCCTCCAAGAAAAGAAAAGGATCATCCCTGGGGCCGCCTGAAGATCAGAATTCTGGAAGGAACACCGGAAGCAGTTTCAAAGGGTGAAGCCACAGTTTCCTAGGTTTCAAACTCCTAGGTTTGCCACCTCTCTTCTTGAGTGTGAGGTCTGCTAAGGAGATGGGGGCCACTGCCCAGGGGGGATGGGGGAAACTGCCATGGTCATAGGGCAGAATATTCTTGCCAGGGCCAAGGAGGTGAATTTGCCACTCAGATAGGAGAATGGGGCTGGAAGAGGAGTTGACGACCAGAACCAAGGGACCTCTACCTGGAATCCAGAGGGTTTGGCCAAAACTGAGTATGGAAGGCAGGCCACTGCCCATATGGTTCCAAAAAACAGAGAATTACTTTCAAGCCTTGAAAATTAATATGAATTGACTTGCTTGGTGCCAGTTATTCTTTCTTTCCCTCTAGTTTCTCTTGTCTGTAATGGAAATGTCCGCCCTGTGCCTGCTCTACCTCTGTACTTGGGAAATAGATATATTACAGTCTAGCGATTCACAGGTTCACAAAACAGGAATTTTGCACTCCAGGATGGAATACGCTTAAGATCTCACCCATATTTGATTTAGATGATTCAGAATGTAAGATTTGGGGCTTGGAGTCAATTTAAGATTTTGGGGATAATGTAATGGGGTGAGTCTGTTTTGCATGTGGCAAGGGCATACATTTGTTTTTTTTAAGGGGAAGGGAGTGCTACAGGGTTGAACGTTACTAAATTCTAACTTCTATGCCCATGGTAATAATCTCATTTGCGAATGGGATGTCTTTGTTATTTTAATGATGCAGGATATAAAAGAGATTAAATAAGTTTAGGAGTGATGGGGTAAGACAGATACCAAGCCATAAGGAAATCTCCAAGGAACCAGGAAAGAAGCCAAAGAGAGAAGGACCTTCAAGCAGAGCCTCCTAACCTGTGAGAAGCTACATTTTGTTTGTTTGTTAAAGCCATCCACTTGTGGGATTTGTTATAGCAGCACTAGAGAACTAAGTCAGACATGTTCTCTGTTGAAATGTCCACAACAATGAAGGAGCTGCACATGTTGTTATGCAGTGTGCTTGGAAATAAATGGTAAAACGTAAGATATAAAATAATCGACTTAGACCAGCAAAAGGCTTTTGATGACCTCTCATGATAGGATACAATATGATAGGGCACAGTAAGTATATCTGGTAAGTAACTTCTCAAAATTGAGTTACTTCTGAAAGCTATTTGCTGATTCTTCACCAACCCAGGTGATAAGACTGTGTGATATCTTCAGAGTTAGTCATTCCCATTAGGATTCCCATTAAGCAAACAGAAAGAGCCACATTAAAAGTGGTTTTTGAATCAAACAGCAATCCTACTGCTGTAACTCACTTCTACACTAGCGTATCTTCCCACCCACTTTAGTTCACAATGGTTGTACTGTCAGTGACTATTTACTGAGAGCTGTCCATTATTGATAAAATGCTAATGAAGAGGCTGGCAAGATGTGAGCCCTAGTCCTCAAGGGGCTGGAAACACAGTCATTATCATTGTTGTTAGGGTTACAAATACTTACATATGCTGTGTAGAAACACATTTTTAAGTGAAGATATTTTCTCCATTTTGCAGAGTATGCAGGCTCCAAACTGGATAAAGTATGATCTAAAGTTACATTTTAAAAAGTAAAAGATAATTTCACCCTGATTCACTAGATTTTTTAGTTCACATATTTTGATGTCTAAAGTAGAATGTCATTCAACTCAAAACTCAAGCATTTACACATGAAAAAAAAATTCACTTATTTACAGTAATTTATTTTCTTATAAGCTACATAATTAGATTGAATGCCATGGCATTCTTTGATTTGAAGGGTAAAGTAACAAGTTATATATGATGATAAAAAGAGGTTATCTATGAACTTCAAACTAAAAATTAATTACATCCTATTTTCTATTTTAAAATGTTTTTATTATACAGCAACATAAAGACTAACCCAGTCATCCAAGTCAGAAACATGGAAGGGGCTTTTCTAATTCTCATTCATCCCCTCTCTGTCACTGACTGAAATCTCATATAAAACATATGTGCCTCTTCTTCTTGCATTCCTTTTGTCAAACTGCTCTCAAACCTTTAACAATTTCCTCCTGAGAACTAAGTGGAGTCAGCCTGCTACTCCTTCACCTAGCAGATCTACAGAATAAAGGCCAAATTCCTTAGAGTTCATACTTGCCCAAGCATTTGTCCTATCGCTCATCCCATGTTTCAGTTAAGACCAACCACCTAAAGGTCTAAGAATGCGCTTAGTCCTTTCTTATGTCTGTACATACTATTGACTGCTCCACTGCTACTAGACTCCAAAACTCCCTAGGAAATGTACATTTTCTATTTCAAAATAACATTAAAGCACCACCTTCCTGTAGCTGTTTAGATTCTTATTAAAATGCTGTAATAACACCTTACTTCACACTATAATAATGTGGTTACATATTTGTTTGATTCCCTAGACTGTGAGTCTGTTCTACGTATCTGAGTATATCCAGCAAGTAATATAGTTGTTATTGTTAGGTGCCATTGAGTCGGTACTGACCCATAGCGACCTTATGCACAGCAGAATGAAAACACTACCCGATCCTGGGCCAACCTCACTATTGTTGCCACACTTGAGCCCACTGATGCTGCCACTTTGCCAATCCATCTCGCTGGGGTCTTCCTCTTTCTTTGACCCTCCACCCTACCAAACATGATATCCTTCTCCAGTAACTGGTCCCTCCAGACAATATGTCCGAAGTATGAGAGACGAAGATTGGCCATCCTGGCCTCCAAGGAGCACTCTAGCATAGTAGCCATCTCACAAATAGAAATTTAAGCATGCTCCCTATAGGAATGAAGGAAAAGACCAATAAGCTGATCAAAAGAACTAAGTTCTAGTCTTAGTATCTCACCTGCTGGAAGTAAAGGTATGGTTTTCACACTTTAACTCTTTTGATTTGTTTCTGGTCTAAATGAAGATAGCAACTACATGGTTTGTTTCACAGGTGGTTATGGAGACCAAAATTTTAAAAACACAAATGTTGTTATAATTATTAGCTATAATTGGCTAAAAAGTATAGCATCATCCTTTCCATCAACATTAACATTCTAACTAAACAGCTGTAATTCTTTCATTTCTAACAAAGATAAAATATTAATATAATAATGCAAATTTCCAATTTTTTAAATGATTAAACAATCTGAGGAATTTTTTGTTTTGTGTATTAAGCATGCTGTTAAGTGCCACTGAGTTGCTTCTGATTCATAGCAACCTTGTATTGGGTTTCCAAAGAGCAGCTGGTGGGTTTGAACCATCGACCTTGTGGTTCGCAGTCCAGTACATATCCTATAGTGCACCACACTAGGCACACAAGCCTAGAAGTAATAAATCTGAAAATCTAAATGATATAAATTATAACAACATAAATAATAAACTTACCTGCTTTCTGATAGAAATTGGCTGTTTCATATGCCAGTGCAGCAATTAGTCTCGGGGCATGTTTGAGCTCAATTGCTCGAGCAATTGTTACTATAACCAAAAGAAAACAAAAGTGAATCTGCAGATACAGTCACTTGCATTTACCCTAAATTTAATACAATAGCAAAAGAAATTCTGAGTCTTAAAACTGGGATTTTAACATAGTTTGCCAAAACAGTTTTCACATGAACATGCTACAGAATATGTAAATATGAACAAACAAAAAATCAGTAGGTTGGTTCTAATAGTATTTCTTAAAATAAATCACTAAACTAAGTAATCACAGAGAATTATAATTACAAATAGTATGAGGTACTAGAGTTTTAAAAAAAGGGGAAAAAGTCTACAAAGTTTGTTTCCCATAAACCCATAGACATTTTCTACCACTGAAAAGCAAAAATTTCAAGGTAAACCAAATAATGGCTACTTTGAATCCACTTGTTAGTACAAGATCCTTGAGTACAGGAACCGAAATGTTGCTAACACATGATAACATGGACCTCTGGATTCTGCCTAGTCATGCCATGCCTCCGTTATCAATGCTATTTGATTGAAGAAAGGAGGAAGAAATTTATCCCATGAGTACATTATGCCATGAGAAGAAAAGAGGAAAGGGAATGAATGAGCAAGGTAGAGGAGGAAAGATGAACTAAATAATATGCTTAAAGAAAAGTCATGAAATCAAAACCCTCTTTAAAAAAGAGCCATGAAGATATAAGATCTTGTCTTGCTAACTAATAAAAAAGCCAGGCTCTAAAAGTAAAATTATTCCTAATGATAAATCAAAAACCTAAAATTCAACTGCCAGTCCAAACTTTCTCTGAGGAATCTTACAATACTTAGAGATACCTTCTTGCGCTTCAGCCTGGCACTGGATAATATAAGCATCCATGAGTCGTGCCTCTAAATCTCTTCCCTTTTCTGCAGGTGTAATTAGTTTGGGGATATGATTTTCCTAAGACATTAAAAAAAAAAAAATCAAATTTTATTTTCACATAATTGTTAATGATGAAGGAAATATAAGTTGTAAGACATTCAATTTGGGGATTCATTAGAATTCAGGTATACAAACAAAATCCTTGTAAAAAGGAGCAATATTCAGCTTGTTGTAGACAGCACTTAATAACAGTCTAAAAAGGAGTATTAGGGTTGTTGTTATGTGCCATCAAGTCAGTCCTGATTCACAGTGACCTTGTGTAGGGATTTCGAGGAGGAGCTGGTGGGTTTGAACTGTCGACTTCACAGTTTAGCACTCCAGTGCTTATCCTACAGCACCACACCAGAACTCCGACATTAGGTTCCTAGAGATGAAAAACTTTTGTGTATTATATAACCCAGCTTTTACAAGAACAGGATATTTAGGAGCAAAATTTTTGTCATAAAAGACTGCTTTAGATATGTAAGCCATAGTTTCATCTTATGAAATGTTTTAACTGAAAGAGCAACCAAAATTCTCTTTTGAACAATAACTTGAACTGCTCATTTGCATAAATACCTGTATAAAAAAGGAAAAGAAAAAAATTCTCCAGTTAACTCAGGTTTGCAGCTTTTTAATTACTATAAAAGCATCTTATATAAAAGAACCCAACACTGGTCTCCAGTAAATAGTGGTTTAATTAGAAATGGAGGAAATACTGTTAGAAAATACATGAGTTTTCTCCAGATGCCCATCACATCTCTAGATAATGTAACTAATGTGTATTGACTGTCCTTCTAGCCTCTTCTTTCAGAGAAAGCTCAGTTTTATAGAATATGACAGCGCCTGGCAGCTACTGCAGAGAGTAAGAATGTTAACCATCAATTTTCCTGATTTGTTCTCTTATCTTTTCAGAAGAGATATAAAAATAAGCACTGCATTATAACTTGGCATTTTCTAATTTTTAAAATTTAATGGTGACTTTAAGGTAAAAACTTAGACCCTTATAGTTCTGTAACTAGCAGCACTCATCAACAATTAACATAGTGAAAACAGAACATATATTAGCTCTGTTGACCTAATGAAACAATTCCTCCCTCTGCCCAACAAAAGAAGAACTATTAATGCAATAAGTGTATATATATTTTACCTTTAAATGTTTAAAAACCCCAGCTGCAATTTTTAGGCTTCGATGAACTTCTTTTGCTTCATCTTCTGTTATGCTTAAAGATAGTAATTACATTAAGCAGATGAGGAATCTGATTTTTGGTTTTAAAACCAACTAACATATTATCCTTAATCTCAATTACTATATTCGTTTGCAAATAATACACCCACACAAGATATACATGGCACACCTAGGAAATTAGTGCCAGGGGTTTTGTACTTGGCAAAAATGCATAACCTGTGTGTTATTTGCTTAAAAGTACGGTAGTCTTTTGTCTGACACCCTTGGAAATTTTCCTTTAGAAAAATCTAATTCTGACACTTAAAGTAACAAATTCACATGAAAAGCATCCAAACAGAAGATGCCACAAATGAAAAGAAGATCTGCCTACAACAAGTAAGCTGTGAACAAGTATTTCTGGTTCTTCCTTTTAGACTCCATCTATACATAAGTAAGCAAAATACAGTATGACCTTAGTGCATGTGCACATGTCAAAAACACACAACATACACAGTGGTAACCATATTCACTATTTTGTACTTGCTTTCATCACTTAACACACTTTAGAGACAAATTTATATCCACACATAAAATTCAACTTTACTTGTAAATGACTGCATGTTATTTCCTTATATGGATGCATCAGCATTAATTGGTCAGTTTCTAATTTCTAGTATCCACTGTTTCTGTTATAAAAATTGCATCTCATTTTTTAATTCTTGGAATTTTTAAAGCATCTTTTCACATTTATGAGCCTTAGCCTTTTGTGTTAATTTTTTCTGTGAACTGTTATACACTTTGCTCATGTTTAACTGGCTCACTGGTACTTCCTTGTGCATTTGTAAAACTTGTTTAAGACATTACAAAAACAATTTGTTATGTGGGTTGCAACTTTTAACCACTATGACATTTGTATTTTAACTTTGTTTATGTAGTCATATATATATTCAATCTTTTCATAAATGGTTTCTTGGTCTGGGGTCTTATTTACAAAGACTTTCCCCATGACGAAACTATTAATAAAATGTTTCTTTTTCACATTAGACTCCATGACTCTGATACTTAAAATATTAAATTTTTAGCAATCGTTGACATGTCTGAAGTAGCTGCATATTAAAATAAAATTAAATAAATAACACATATGCATAAAACCCTTCCCGCCTTTGAACTTACTTTTCTTTTCCAGCCAGCCGTGAAGCGTATTTGGTATACCATAAAGCTACATTAAATCCCATGGAAATTAATTCAAAAACAGCATCCTGTTGCGCACTAAAATTATAAATATGATAAGTGTGTCACTAATTGAGACATCTCTACATGAAGCCTACAGTGCATCCAACTGTAAATTATAAACTACAAATTAACTAATGGAATCTGAGGTAGTCTGGGATATATAGACAGAAAATGTAGTTCTTGTGAGTTGTACAGGTGGGAGATAAAGACACTCACACCCTGAGGTAATCAACAACAGCTATTTATAACAGCCCAGTATGGGCTTCATAAAAGTCAGCATGAGAATCCAAACCAAAGCCTTTGCTGTGGAGTAGATTCTGACTCATGATAATCCACTAAGGCAGCACAGAACTGCCCACCAAACCACAGACTTTGAATGTCAAGTCAATCAGCATACCACAAAGAAAGGTCTTGAAAATGAGCATATTTTATACCTTGTTTTGTTTTTCTTCCAGAGTCTAGACTAAATATGGCATTTAAAAAAATGGCAAGAGCGTATTAAGCAAGTAAAAGAATACCAATTTACTGCCATTCTTATAAGAACCTGGAGACTCCGAAATGGTCAAATGATGAAGTAAGAAAGCAGAAATAGTACCCCTGTTTTACATTTAATTCTAAGATAACATTGAAGTTACCCAAAGAGAAAAAAGAAACTAATGCTGTGGCCTCTTCTTAAAAGGAATGTAGACATGGGCATTCTTTAGATTAAAAAAAGAAAAAAAGTTATGAAATACGTAGTAACTTAAAACTGATTTATAAACTATCCTATTCAGTATATATTATTTTTTTAAATGACATTTATAAACAAACTTAAAACAGTTTTACCCTTCTGGAAAAAATTTAATTCATAGTTAACAGCTTCCTCTTCTCAGCACTGAGTGTTTTTCACCTGGTGATTTAGTGGACATACCAATATATGTGTAACTTTATCTTTAAATAATAAAAAGAGTTTTGCTAATTAACATGAAGGCTCATAAATAACTCTCCCTTTTTTTTCATCTACTTTATCTGCTTTGTTTCTAAAACGCTCTATCTCTGTTGCATCACAAGTAAGCAGCAGCAGTCAGAGTGAATACAACTGAAAAGGTAAGTTTTCAGAACAGATATACTCATAACGTATTTTCCATTCCACAAGTAGCAATCAGGCAGAAAGTAAGGGAAAATCCTGAGATGTATCAAACATTCACTATTACTTAATTACTTCATAATTCTTCATTGTCTCATAAAACTTCTGGGAAAATGTTAAATAATAACTAGCTTTTATAAGTTAGCAAAATTTGACATGCTAAGAGGTAAAACTGTCAATTCCTAAAATGCACATTTTAATTTCTGCCCATGTTTCCAATGTAATAAAGAGGCTTAATTCTTTAAAAAACATCATTTTGCAAGATATATTCTTTAATTTTGGATGAACAAATGGGTCACTAAAAGAAAAACAGAAAATGAGGCCTTAGAAACCAAAGTATCCCAGAATATTAAGATGTGGAAAGGATTCATAGCTCATGTCTCTTATCCAATTTATGAATTCTACATATAATAATCACAAGACAAAAATATTGAATGTCTATTATATGCCAAGGAGTGTGGTGCTATTGGATAAGCAATGGACCGCAAGGCTGGTGGTTCAAACTCACCAGCTGCTCCTTGGAAACCCTACACAGGGTTGTTATGAGTTAGAACAGATTTGACGGTACTTAATAATATTATACGCCAAACACTGTATTATTCACTTAACATAAATTTTATTTTGTTTCTCAAAAAAATGGTATGAAATAACCCTAATATATACTTGAAGATGTTCACTCTGTAGAGGATTTAAGATTGCATCGAGATTTGTATGAATCCAAAGTCCGTACTCCTACCCCTAAAATAAATAGTCTACCCTGGTCTTATAGCAATTGTTAATAGAGTCCCTTCCTTCCTTCCTTTTTTGTATTTATAAAAGTAATTCTACAGCAAATTAAGACAAAAATATTTGATCATATAAAGAACCCAATGGTATAAAAAAGATGGTTAAATTAAAAAGCATGATTTGTTTCCTAATGAATTTATAACTAGCTCAAGTAAATGATGAAAAGCTCTGGTAGGAAGTTTTTTAAAAGGGGAAAACAGTGATGAGAAATCAGGAAAAAAAATCAATTACTATGAATAAAGAGAGTATAGAATTGGGGCAGAATTTGGAGTGAGTTTTGGGAAGATGAAGGCAGACTGCCCAAAGCTATCTGAACTATCCATCAGAAAAAGAAAAGTAAAGGGAAAAACAAAATTCTGCTCTGCTTGAATGCAACTGAAGACTGAAAGCCAGGTTTGGGTTGCAAAATTCTCAAACTATTCTTTGTGTGTTCAGAATGCTGTTATTAAAAGTCAAGGTTCTGCAATTCTAGCTAGTATTTGTATTCATTATCTTTAACATAAATGTAGTCCAGTAGAAACAAATTATATTTTTACGTAGTAGAATATGTTTGGAGTTTAGATCAAATGTTTTAAAATCTTTTCCTGATAAGAAAAAATGTTTTATTTTTCTTCTTCAAATACAGAGGTTATGAATTGGCTAAATTAGTTACAAAACTGGCTTCAATTTAGTACTATGACTGCATTGCTTACCTTGGGACCTGCCCTTGTAGTGTATCAGTCCACTTGAAATTTTGAATATATCGCAACTTGCTTTCTTGGGTAGATTCATCCAGTGAATTTATAAAACCTAGAAAAAGGTACAAATTATTTTAGCATTAGAAGAAACACTAATTGTTCTATTACGAAAAAAATTAGATAATGGCTTTTCCAGTATCTGAATGTAAAGTTCTGGAACCTTCTCTACTCTTACATATTCCATACCTTCTCCTGAGGTAAAATATTTATTTTACATTTTAAGTTTTAAAACATTGGAAATACCACATACCACCCTTAACATTCTCACATATTTGAAACTTAATATGTACAAAGCACATAATCTAAAATACCAAGCAATTTAAGCTTGAAAAGTCTAAGAAATTCTGCAGTTATTTTAAAAACTTTAAAAGCTCACATAAACAACCTTGTAAAAGTGAAAAATATGAATCTGCTGCATTCTTCATCATTTCTGGATTACAGTTCGAATCAGTCAACAGTTCAAGCAGCCTTGCTCTGGATGACCTCAATTCACTTAAATGAGAAAGAGAGATGGTAAAGTTAAGTAAGCTGTGCATCTGTGTAATAGTGGCTTCAATTTCAATTTCAATGAAAGAGCTTTATAGCACAACACAGCCCTGCCCCAGCACTCCTCTCAGCTGCTCCCTTTTACCTAGAAACGAATGCAAGTATGACTGATGCTAGAGATCTGTGAAATTTTCAAATAACAATCATTTAAAAAGGTTTACTGAAACAAATCCAGTCTAATTAAAGGAGTAAAGCATAAATACAATTATGTAATGAATATGCACAAGTTTTCAATTAAAAAATCAAACAAGCACAAGCATTTGAAATTTGGAGGGAAATTAAGAATGAATCACTCAAGCTGTCATTTCACAGTAGAAATATTTTCAAAAATGGAAATTTAATGTTAGTGTATGATTTCCATATCCCCAAAATAATAAAATTTCATTCTAAAATTGAATACACATACCAGGAATATATAAAACCACGTGGTTGAAAGTTGTTTAAAAACTGCTTTCCAGTGTTCAAACTCCTTGACTGTACAACAGGGCTGTGCTGACCCACCCTTTACCCATTTTACCTCCTAGAAGTTCTTTTATCCTTTGAACCAAAAGCTCTTACATTTTCTAGGTTCTCCTTTTGCCTTTAAAAGTTCCTTGTAGCACCAGTTAAAGTGAATAGAAGCAAATACTGCTAACATGGAAGGGACTCCAATCATTGTAATGAAACAAAGTATATGGCTTGTTGAATCTAAAACTGATGATCTGTTCTGGAAACCTTCTCTCAATTAACAAAGTTTTAAAAAAAGTTCTTTGTATAGTTTTCCTTCTGACCCTTCCTAAATATTGTCTTTGAATTTCTGATTTCATTTTTGAGATCTTATTTGTACAACTTCAACTATATCCATTCCTGTATCTACACCTACAGCTCTGAACTTGTCCTGTTCATTTCGCAGAAGGAAATTTGCTCAGTGAGGGTTGCAGAAACCTAACTATACGAACAATGACTGAAGCCACTTGAAATTCATGTGCCTTAGTTTACTGAGGAGCCCTGGTGTGGTGCTGTGGGTTACGGCAGATTGCAAAGCCGTTTGAACTGCAAGGTCAGAGGCTCAAGCTCACCAGTTACTCCTCAGAAACCCTATATAGGGTTGCTATGGGTCAGAACTGACTAGATGGCACTTAACAACAACAACTTAGTTACTGAAGGAGCCCTGGTAGCGCAGTGGTTATGAATTGGCCTCCTAATCTCATGGTTGGCAGTATGAAATTACCAGCTGTTCCACAGGAGAAAGATGAGGCTTTCTGCTCTCATAAAGATTTACAGCCTCAGAAACCCTGTACAGGGTCACTGTGAGTTGGAACTGACTCTACAGCACATAACAACAACAACAACAACAACATCTAATTACTGAATATTGTTATAACATCAGTGGAGTCCTGGGGTGATGCTGTAGGGCCAGCATTGGACTGTTAACCACAAGTTCAGCAGTTCAAAGCCACTAGCAGCTCCTCGGAAATCCTTTAAAGGGTTGCTATAAGTCGTACTGACTTGACTGCACTTAACAACAACAACAACATAAATACCACATGCGGATGGTTTTAACCAACAGAAACTTATTCTATCTAAGTTCAGGAGGCTAGAAATCTGAACTTCCGGTGCTAGCTCTAGAGGAAAGCTCTCTCTTTCTACCAGCCCGCGGGAAAGCCCTTGTCTCCTTTTAACATCGGTGGACTCTGTTCCTTAAGAGATCTTCAAATGTCTTAGCATCAATCTGCTCCTGCATCTGCAGCAGGGATCCTGGGTCCAGAGGATGCATTCTGCTTCTGGTTCTTCTTTCTTGGTACCTTCCTCTCTGTTCCCTTCTCTCTACTTTTAGCTCTTTATAAGGAAAGGCGGTGATGCAGGCCTCACTCCAGGGACACTCCCCTTACACAGGATCTGAAGAAGGGTGGCAGTATTACGTAAGCAATCATCTTTGACATAATCTAATCCCGTCTCATTAACCAGAAGCAGAGTTAGGATTTACAACACATCACAAAATTGAGGACAGTCATACAATACTGAGAATCATGGCCAAGCTGACACGGATTTCTGGCAGACACAATTCATGAGTTTGCAAGTGACTAAAGATTAAATTTAAATTGTTTAAGCACCAAGAAACTGTATACCCAGACAGAACAGGTACCTAAGGCAAAGCATGGGAGTCCTGGTGTGGTGCTGGGTGTTAATGCGCCAGACTACAAAGCCGTTTGAACTGCAAGGTCAGTGGTTCAAGCTCACCAGCTGTTCCTCAGAAATGCTGTGGGTCGGAATCGACTTGATGGCACTTAACAACAACAACAAAGGCAAAGCATGAACTCAGAAATTACTAGTTGAGTGAAAAATAAACATTTAGAATATTTTCTTTTAAGATTTAGTAGAGATACTTATGTGTTGCAATGAGTCCTGGTAGTGTAGTGGTTACAATTTGGGCTGCTAACCAGAAGGTCAGCAGTTTGAATCTACCGGCTGCTCCATGGGAGAAAGATGAGGCTTTCTGCTCCAGTTAAGATTTACGGTCTCAGAGACCCTGTACAGGGTTGCCATGAGTCAGAACTGACTCCACACCACACTATCACCACCACCACTTAGTGCTGGATCGAGGCTTAGTGACTTAATTTGAATAGAGCCTTATTCCAAGAAAGTACTTATCAACAATTACATATAGCTGACTGATACCTTATGAATATGCAAGTGTATGTAACTGAAAAAGTATTTAACTGAAATTGGCAGGGCTGATTCCTGGGCTAAACAGAAATTGTAATCCTCAATTCTATTCGAGACTCAAGTAGTCTACTAGTAATTTCCAGTTTGGTGCTCAACCATTTGTGCAGTTATATTCATCTTAAAGTTACAAATTTGAGCAAAAATGTACCTTAGATTAGATCTAATTCATGCTGTTCATTTTACAGATGATTAATTAGGTCCAAAGAAGGGGCTTGCCCAATGCTACAAAGAAATCAGCTAGGCTGGGAGCTGCCTCTAGACCTATTAGATCAAGGGTTGCTTTTCTATGGTCCGCAAACTAGGAATGGTTTTCACATTTTAAAAGGATTGCAAAAATAAAGACTACCAAGTAGAGACTATATATGGCTTACAGAGCCTAGAATATTTGCTATCTAGCTCATGACAGAAAAAGTTTTTTGCTCATCTTTGGTCTAGCTTACTTAATATGCCAGTTTCCTACCCTTTGCATCAATGACTCCTTTCCAAAGACAACAACAACACTCCTGATTTTCCTTTACTGCTACCACCAATGTGCTTATTGATCATCTAGATTCTCTATCTTTAGTAGACTGAATTCTTCCCAACATCCCAGAACCAATCAGTTAATCAGGCTGCGGGATTCTGCTTCTGAAATGATTTCTTATCCTTTTTGTTCCAGCCAAAACACTCTACTCACTATCCTTAGAGCAAAGATTTTCCAGATATAAATGAGTTTTTCCTTTCCCTAAACCAGGGTTCTAGGAAAGACGAGATAGCAAAACCTCTAGGCTTTGCAGGAAGTGGGGTCTCTCTCTGTGGGAACTACTCAACTCTACTACTGTAGTGGAAAGCACCAGGGGCAATCATAGACAATCTGTAAATCAATGGGGGGTGTCTTGTGTTTATTCACATAAACAGCGAGTGGGCTACTCTGTCGGACAGTTTGCCAATCCATGATCAAAACCATATAATTTATTAAGTCCTTCCTCCTATATGGATACTTCCAAGGCTATCCGAGGTCACAGGGACCTCTCCCTGCTCTGAATTCAATGAATTTCTTATCTGGGCAAATAACAATCTCTACACACTACTTGGTGTATCTCTTGTACTGTTGCAATGGACTACTTAACCCTTTTACTGGGACTGTTTTAGTCTCTTGTTGTTAAGTGCCGTCAAGTTGGTTCCAACCCATAGTGACCTTTAGGGACTCAGTATGTACTGAGTTGAAACTAAGGACCATGGCCTACGTAACTGCTAAAGCTGACATCTTTCTGTACTTTCCACTGGACCTAGAAAGTACCTTGTGTCCGAGAGTGGTTCAATCGGTGCTTGAGATGGACTAAAACTTACTTGCAAATTTTTGAAGCAGCAGGGCCAGTGACTACACCATAGTAGTTAAAAGACACAGGAGCTGTGGCTTTTAATGGGTTTCTATGAAACCAGTGGGTCATTTTCTCCAAATATTTTCTACAGAAAAAGAAAACAAGACATTATAAAATTTAAACTTAAAACATTCAACAATGTAAACATTACTTTAAAAAATAAATTAGTACAGGGCACGTATGTTCATATGAACGAATTTGTTAAGTGCTGTAATCTTTTTAAGGTTTTTATTGTGGATTGAATGAAAGTTTACAGGGCACATCATCAGTTTTACATTCAACAAATCATAT